GTTGGTAAAATAGGTTTCTACTTTTAATGTAATGAAGAGATTTTCTCTAAAAAATTATTTATTGTAGAGTTCTATTCTTTTTTAAAACATGTACTTTACTATGCTCATGAGAAATTTGAGTGCTAGGATCATTGCTAAATTTCACTTTGTCTGGTTTTGTTGCAGCATGCCCAAATCCAATCCCATCTCCAAACAAATGATCTTCAATCGTTCTAAATAAATGTGTGACACAAAATCTCTTAAATATGAGCACCATCCACAGTAAATGAAAATGATTCCATTAAAACTTTCCCGAATGGCAAAAATGTTTCTTAAAAATATGATATATTTCTTCATTTCAGTTTTCTTGTTCTTGAAAAATCATTTGATTTTTAGGCAGTTCTAGAAAGTACAATATCATTCTTACGACATTAATTGATAAATTCGACGTCGATCACCAAAAAATTTCGGAAAAAACACTTGAAAATCGTAAGAAAATTTTTTAATTTTATTTTTATATTAATTTGTTTATATTGAGAGAAGAAAAGAAGATGGGAAATGTAAGTTTTTAAGGCATTGTTGGTTCACAATGAATTGTTTGTAATCCCTAAGCTTTCTTCTCCTTATAAAACTACTTGGAATAAATATATATTCTTTTATCTATTATCTACAAATTCTTGATATAAATTTAAAAATAATAACAATTAATTAATTGATTGGTTATAGGGCCAAAAGGCTCAACATAAAAGAGAAAGAAACCAAAAAGCAAACGGAGCAAAAAATGCAAGCAGTCAATTGAAAGTTGTATGTTTTAAATATTTAGTAATTTTTTATTAATTTAGAAAACATCAATTCATTCATTGTCCGAGTGATTGATTTATTAATCAATTTAGAATGAAGCAGCAAGGACTGTGATTTGTCAAGTTTGTCGTAATACTTTTTTATGTACTATAAGAGCTAAAGCGTTTGTATTTATTTATCTTAATAATTTACAATTTTTATTACTTACACGATTTAATTAATTTATATGATTAATATAATATTTAGATTATCTGAACATGCTGAAAATAAACATAGCAAAAGGTTAGAAGAATGTTTTCCTGGATTTGTTGAAACTCAAAAAAATTGATGTTTTGCTTGCATATAGTCACATGGCACAATTATAGAGATTAAAATTGAAAATTAAAATAAAGATGCAAATTATTTGAAATTATGAATGGAATTTGTTCTTTAAATCAGTGGATATTATATTTGAGTAATAGAATATATACTTGAGAACGTCAGAATTGTAAACGGATTTAATAACAAAAAATTGAATTATTATTATTATTATTTGATTGGCAATAGAAACGAGGAAACCGTGTTACGAGAAAATCAAAAAAAGATCTACATTTTAATGGAATATATTATGTAAAGTGGGGTATGATTTCTAAGCTAAAATTAATCCTTGTGATAAATTGCATATAGAAGCATTATTAACTCAAAATCACGATGCTTGTGGTTATCCTCATTTCTATTGTCCATGTCCTATTATTTACTATTGTTTTTTAAAATTTTATTAAAATGTGATACTAACTGAAAATTGACTTTTGGGCAACACTTAACCTTGTTTCTATTGAACAGGCCTTAATAAGAGGGGAGTCTTGGCAAAGATTTTATTTACTTGATATTCGAATGCAAGAAGTTGTTAATATCATTATCATTATTATTTAACAAATAAATAAATAAATAATTAATATATATATATATTTCATAAATATAAGTTGGCCTTAGAAATTAAAATTAAAAAATCTTATATTCTGTATCTTATAAATAAATTGTTTATAACCATTTTATTTTTTTTTTTAAAAAAAAAGAAAAAAAATCAACAAATAAATACTTAATGAGTTTGAACCTATTTGAATATAAAAACAAATAAGTTAAATTATTTCCAATAAAAAAATTAATTATAACTCAATAATAATCTTACCAAATCATCAATTTTTAATATCATTTTAACAGTTTCTGCAGCCAACTCTATAGCACTAGTAGATGCAAGTAATGGCTGTATAACATTTTCTTCAAGAATATTTGTAATTGAACCCTATTGTTCAATTTTATTATTATTATTATTTATTACCTTTTGATTTTGATTTTTACTAATTCATTATAATTCATTATTAAAAAAACAGACATTCAAATTACCTTTCTCACATTAATACCAGCTGTTTTTTCACCCAAGGCATGTCTATTTCTTAACTCAGTAACTATATTAATTGGATTTAAACCTGCATTTTCAGCTAAAGTTAATGGAATAACTTCAAGTGCAATTGCAAATGCTTCAAAACAATGTGCTTCCATTCCTTTAAGTGATTTAGCATAATCAGACAAACGTTGAGAAACTTCGATTTCAGGAGCACCTCCACCAGCAATAAGAGCTCTGTAAGATATAGAAAATTTAAATTTTGTTATTAGTCATATACATGCCTTGATTCCATTATGTTGTTGTATTAGATTATATATACACATTTTTCTCTTACTTTTTCTTAACCAAACAACGAATAACACAAAGTGCATCATGTAATGAACGTCCAGCCTCTTCTAACACAAGTGAATTAGCTCCACGACTTAAAATTGATACAGTTTTTCCGTTATGTTTAACTCCTGTAATCTTAACAACCCTAGCACCAGAAGTTTGTACTTCATCAACCAATTCTGCATAACCCAATTTATCCTCGGTAAATGATTCAATGTCTGCAATTGGCTTACACCCGGTACTCTTACAAATAAATTCAACTTCATCTCTTTCTATATCCTTTACAACCAATATTTTTAATTTCGATAGAAAATGTAAAGATAAATCATTCACTGCGTCACGTAGAATTGATTTTTGTATCAGTAAAACATTACAGCCTGTTTTTTTAATTTTTTTACACATATTAAGAAGATATTGGCGTTCTTCTTTTAAAATTTTGTCCATAAGTCTATAATCATTTACTACTATTTGATTTTCCATCTAATCATAATTTTTTAAAATATATATATTATATAATTAACGTTATCATCTATTAATTTAATTCTTCAAAAAAATTAATCATAATAATATACTCACATCTGGTTTTGGTGGTGATAATTGGAATTGAATAAGACCAATTTTTGCTTTTTCAATGTGTGAAGGACCCCCTGAATCTTTAACAACATTTTGAGTCAAAACAAGTCCATCAACCAACTCTGTATCATCGATTGTTCCACCAACTTTTTTAACTATACGGATATTTCTTAAATCAACATTGGTTGCTGTTGCGGAATCAATAACACGTAATACAGCATCTACAGCAATAGGTGCAAGAAGACTTGAATGTTGAGAAACAATCTAAATATATATATATAAGTATATCATTTCAATTAATAAAACATATCATTTGTTAAAGAGCTAATTTATTTAATGTAATGTATTATTAGTTGTTGTAATTGTTTATACCTTTGAATTTAAAGATGTGCTTGCAGCCCTTAATAAAGAATTTCGATCAGACAAATCAATTTGAGTTGACATTTCCGTTAAAAATTCAGATGATTTTGTTGCAGCACGTTGGAAAGCTTCAGCAATAGTTGTTGGATGTATTCCTAGAATTTTTAGGAAATACTATAAGTGATCAAATAACATTAAATGTATATGTATGCGTTATGCTCTTAACGTTATAGACATATGCTATAAGTACCTTTAGCAAGCATTTTCCCAGCTACTCCCAAAAGAGCTCCAGCAATCACAACAACTGATGTAGTACCATCACCAGCTTCAACATCCTGTGCTGCAGACAAATCAACAAGCTAATAAAATAATAATAAAAAATCAATAAATGATTTCTTTCTGGATTTGGTTTTTTTACCAATTAATCAATTAAACTTGCCATCCTTGCTGCAGGGTGTAAGACCGCCATATGTTTTAAAATAGTTGCCCCATCATTAGTTATAACAACTTCTCCACCGCCTGTTTGTATCTAAGAAAAACATTTTAAACAAGCTTTTAATCTAACGAGTAATAAAATTTGTACTAAATATTTAACTTTTTCAAGTCATTATTTTTATTAGATTTTTCCCCTTGTACCATCTTGTCCATGCCCTTGTGACCAAGAGAAGTTCTCACAGCATCGCCTACAGCTATTGATCACATATTAATAGTAAAAAATTGGGCCAGAATTTTTTGTCCGTTATTATTATTATAGAAAAATCCGTTATAGAAAGATCTGTTATAGAGAGAGTAAACTGTATACAGTTGACTCTGTTTATACCGAACCCCCTGTTCCGAGAATTTTTGTTCGTTATAGCCAGAGTTCGTTATAGCCAG